AGCATGAAGCCGGCTTCCCGGCCAATCAGAAAGCCGGGCGCCGCATCATTATACAGCACACAGCTTCCTGATTGGCCAGCTTCCCGACCAATCAGGAAGCTGGGCAGCGAGTCATTACACGCTGCCCGGATTCTTGATCGGCCCAGGAAGTTGGCTCCATGCTCCCTCGTCACTTGGAGCTGGCTTCCCGGCCAATCAGGAAGCCGGGCCGCGTGTAATGACGCAGCACCTGGCTGCCTCATACCAGAAGTATCGGGATAGGCATTGGAGCATTTGGGCGAGTACGAGTACTCACCCAAATACTCAGCATCGGCACCGATACCGATACTAGTATCGCTGCATCCCTATTGCCCACTGTGCACTGGGTTTCTTGGTATGTGTCTGAACTACATTACAAACTAAAAATCACAGTCAATGAATTTCAATTATCTAAAGAAAGATAAGTAAACAATTTTACAACTGGTCTGGCCAGGCAGCAGAAGTGATACATTTCCATTTATCTAAAGAATATACACTGAGTGGCCAGATTATTATATACACTGAGTGGCCGGATTATTATATACACTGAGTGGCCGGATTATTATATACACCCAGTGGCCCGATCAGAATTTGTTACATGTTCAAGAGCAGCTGTTGTTAAAGTGTTTAAAGACCGGACTGTCAGCCGAAAATCTGGGTCTGAACGTGCGAATTGTGGCCGTCAGCGACTAGTCAATGTTAGGGCAGAACGGGGGAGGGGCAAGACTGGTACAAGACAACAGAAGGGCAACAGTGCCGTGTCAGATTCCTCGCATCACCTTTCATCATCTCGTGGAGTCACAAGGCGGCCCAACGAAGTACTGATGGGGTGGTCATAATAATCTGGCCACTCAATGTATATGTATATATTATATATCCAAGTCTTTTCCTATGAAGGAACATATTTAGAATGGTGTTCAGGGTCTGACATTCTATGAATTCTTCTATCTCTGATAAAACAACATCCCGGCCATGTGTGCAGAGATACGTCTGACTAATACAATTATTTCCATGGTGACAGCTGAGACTTTGTACTGCCATCATTTCCAGCAGATGCGTTATAAGCCGGAGATAATGGAAGGTCACGGGGGTCATTCTACACTGGGTCATCATGTGATTGCGTCATCCACTTGTGTATGAAATTTGATGCCCATCTTTAAAAAAACAGGGTTCAGAAATGTATAAGAGAAGGATGTTTTTGATAACCAGGGATTAGGATATCTGTGACTTCCCATGGTGTGACTGGTAAAGACAAATGTAGCAGTCCCGTCACCTTAAAGGGGTCCGAGCATTGGATTTTCTTCTATGTTAAAGTGGTTGAAGCCACATGAACTTCCTTCATCAGGCAAACAAGTCGCTGATGAAGCCACCTCATGTGGTCCCGAAATGTTGCTTTTCATTGTGATGCCATGATTACGTGTAAATTATTACCGCAGCATTAGGAAGAGATGAAGTCGGGTTGGTGAGAGTTCAGCACGATGGCGACTTTTTCACAGGTCTGCCATTGCTAAAAATTTTTTGCACATTGCATTCTCTTACGGGAGCATTTATGATGCCTGCGGAGTGACCACAAATGTCTTTCAGATCATCTGACATCATTAATGCGACCTGGAGATTAAACTGGAGAATAGATATCCTTTAAAAGAGAACTATGGGGTCAGGGCTTTTCCCCAATAGTTCTCCTTAGGGTAACGGAAGGACACAAACTAGCATCCTCCCGTCACCCAAAGTTCAGTATACCGCGAGCTGTATACTGAGATGCCGCAGCCGGAGCCGATCCCGACAATTATGTCTGGATCCACCCAGCTGCGTGAGTGACAGCTGGCTCTGCCTATCTAGAGGCAGAGCCAGCTGTACCTGCCCCCGTCCGTTCCGCCAGTCAGCGCTGGAGGATCGGTGCGGGGAATCCAGTCCCTCCCCTGTCACGGCTCTCTGCAGGGATAGATCGAGAAGTGAGCGAGCGCCGGTATGTGTTTGCTCACTTCCCGATTCTACTGAGCCGACCTGTGACAGTTTCATTGTCACAGGTCGGCTCAGATTATGAGGCTGAGTGAAAATCACCCGCCTCATAGTTCTCCTTTAATTCATAAATATCTGATGAAATATATCAGAGAGCGATGGTCTCAAGATATAGATTGAAGGAGATGATTCATCTCCTTCAATTTATTTCTCAAGACCATCGATCAAGACCACCATCGCTCTGGAGGAACCATAGGCTCCCATGGAACTCTCATTAAGAAAGGTTACTATGGACAATTATAACTGAGTCACTCTGTAATAGGCTGATATCAAGACAGAGGGAATCACCCTAATATCTACTTGTTGTCCATAGTAACCTTTCTCAATGAGAGTTCCATGGGAGCCTATGGTTCCTCCAGAGGTAGGTAGGGGTTCCTTGACTTACCACAAATGTAAATGACATTCTTCCTCCATCTGTCCACCAATGTAAATGGTTCATTGCCCCACTGAAAATGTAAGTGCACCATCTCTGCTGACCACCAATGTAAGGGGGGCCTTCTCACCTGACCATCAATAAAGGGGGCGCTTTTCTACTGGCCACCAAAGTAAGGTGCACTTTTCTAAAGACTACCAATGAAAGGGAGGGCCTTCTCCACTGACCAACAATGTACTGGGTCACGTTTACACATACGACTGAGGTGATGAGGACACTTCTCCACTGTCCATCAATATAGTGGGCACTTTTCTATTGATCAGAATGTAAGGGGGGCCTTCTCCACTGACCAGTAATAAAGGGGGCACTTGGCTACGGGCCACCAATGTAAAGGGCACTTTTCTAAAGACTACCACTGTAAG